AATTCTTTTTATATATATATTATTAATAAATAAAATGTTTACATATAGCGAGATGATTGATATATGCACCATTTAATAATGACGAGTGTAAAATTGCTTGTCACGCTTCTCGTTTTTTTCATATCGACTGCCAGTAGATAATTGTATGGTAATTTTGTATTTCCGTTTGTATTTCGGAGTAGTACGCATCGGAAATTTCAATATATCCATCGTTGATCTGAGCTTTCGAATGCATTAAATAGAATTCGTTGGTGTTTCTACATATTATTGAAATTTGACAAGTTGCGGGAATTCGGAACAAATATTTCAAACTTGAGACAATGTCAGGTGATTTGCAAGCATTAACTATGAGTCCGTTTCAAAATACGACTGTCAACATAAGAGTATTCTTAAAAACTTTTACGAAAAAAAAAAAGAAATGTCAAAGTACACTTATGCCTTAATTTACACGGTTTTCTTTCCAAACAAAATCATTCTTCATTGCTATACGCTTCGAAAAAAATAATACCTTAAGAATTAACTGAACAAAACTAAATTAACCGATTTATGATGAATTTTTCTTAATTAGCTAATGGACTTGATTATAAAATAAAAAATTCATTCGTTCAAGCTCGTACATCCTAGGCGGCATTCCGCATATGTAAAATATTGCCTGCATAGAAATGGAAGAGGTTTTGGCCCTTTTTCAATAGAATGTGAATTTACTACCGAGAGGACACCTAATCTTTTGACGCATCAGAACAGTTTAATAAATCCCATATAGTATTTTCGGATAGTGATCCGTCTAATAGGTATTTGCGCTCACCGAGATCTCATTACGTACTCTAACTTCTTTTCGAATATCTTCCCAGTTTATTTCTCAATATCATCAATATCGCGTTACCCGGCCGCAATCGTAACATAAGTTGATGGATGGTTACAGAGAATAGGGACTGAACCGATTGCACTAATCAAGCTCACTGATAGTATATATAAAAGATAGGCCATTTTCATGCCACCATGATGAGGATAAAAATATGTTTTCATAAAATGAAAAACATTGGAAGACACCAAGGAATACAGTTCATTACATAGGGAGAAAACAATACGAAAGTTTTGAATAATTGAACTCTGTGTAGGAATTATTATGGCTTTGGAATGATTATTATTTTATTTCTCGTTCAATTTAATTGTCCAAGAAAATTTACCCGTAACTGTGCGCAATTTGAGGGCTATGTGCGCTTACCTTAGTAGCTCAAATATGTGCCAGAGATGACGTGAAATTTTTTCAAGGTTAAGAAATAATGGTGAAGAGCAGCGCAGTGCTAAGAAAAATTAACGATCTTTTTATATGCATTTTCCTTGGTTGGGTATCAAAGATTCGCCTTAAGGCATTCGTAACTTTCTTATTTATTTCTTTTATTTTTGTTGTGCAATAAACATATTTAGCAAACAGCATTGAATTAATTCTCTGACGCTTTCAAGAACCTCGATAAAAACGTATGTAAACAAAAGAATATTTATTTATAGAAAGAAAGAAGAAAACAAAAACCAATAAAAGGAAAAATATGTACTCAGTGAGATAAGATTCATAAAACAATTTTGCACGAATTCAAAAGTCAAAAAAGAAAAAAATAAATAAATTGAAAAAAAATCATGCACGAATTGCTTATTTGAAAGATTGCTATTAATATTTCATGTTAAAGAAGATGAACAGGAAAAAGAGAATCAAACCAAGTCATCTAATGTTTATTTGAAATGGTGAGACGCTGGCTATCAATCTTAGATACCCCTAATATGTTACTTGCCAAATGCTAACTCTTGCGTCTAGGCTAGACACAAACATTTCACTCCACTTACCTCTAAAAACGGTATTCACTCAAAATCAATCTAATTCTTGATCACACACATCGCAAATTTAATAGACTTTTGTGTGCGTTTTATAATCTTCACTCCACTACACCAAAATGAAAGCGCAATCACAGCTTTCACGACCAATTTGTACAGTATTTTCCGCGAAAACTTATACCTGATTTATCCTAAGATCCAAGGTGAAACTTAATATAACTTTATTCGCGTTATAGTAGTCACGATCGGAAAGCAAGCGCTTTTGCTATTCTCCCAAACAATAAAAAATGTTCAAAAGTTTTGAACTTGTCTAAGATTCTACTATGCGAGTTCAAAACCAATGTAAATATCAATTGGGCGCACTATAAGTACAATACGGTCGGACCTGTTTTTGTCCGTGTTTTTTGCAATTCTTTTTGTGCGATATGATATATCCTCGGCTTTTTAGCTTTGTGCGATTTGTTTTGTGTAACTTTTTTTATGGGAATGGTCTTACCAAAAAGGTTAAGGACAAAACCGTAAATGACATTGACATTTTTAATAACCTTAGATATCATAAGGGCGGAACAAGAAGAACTGCATTCTATGACCACGGGTGAAATATAAGCAGGGATCCAATTTGGCAACACGGTAGGTAAATATTTTCTTAAAATAGATGACCGCAAAAGAAATTCGAATTTCGAGAACTTCGACCTACGACCTTCACAAGCAGCTTATTAAACAATACATGGGAAAGCAAATTAAACGAACTTTACTATCGTCAAGTGATGAAAGTGATTACAAACCGATTAATCGCAAAACTGTACAGGGTTCGGTCTAAAGCCAAATGCTATTGAATTGATATTTCCATATTTAAAACAAGTAAGGAAATTATATTCGGCCGCGAGCGAATCGTTGATACCCAGCACCATTATTCTAAGAAAACCTTAAGGTAACAACTAAAAAACGAAATTTTCGTACTCTATAATATTACAACACCCAGAAGGAAGCTTCAGAGGCCCCACAAATAAGAGACCACATGTTCGCTTGCCTATTTAATATCTGTTGTCAATATTCTCCTGGCTGCAAAAATGAGTTTCAAAAAGAATAAAAACTTGATTTTATGTTCATTACTCATAACCTACAGCAGATAAACCTATAAGAAGTTGCAAAAAACTGAGAAGAATCGGCCGTGCCTGCCCAATTTTACAGGATGTCATAATTTTTTTTTCTTTTCGAAGCAGGTTTCAAAAACCCGATAATGTATATAAAGTCTTGGTCAGTCTCGAATTGGGAATGTACCTACCTAACCTCACCTGTCCGATCCGTCTATCCGTCCGCGCAACTTTGTAGTATCTGTGGTAAACATTCTCCCATTTGCAAAAATGAAGACATCGCCCAAAAACTTGCGAAAGAATTTGAAAACGACCCAAACTTTGCAAAGCATACGCCCAGAGCATGTGAGCGCTTTTACTTCCGCTCTCTCATGCTCGCTGCTCAAAAACTACAACAGATACACGATATAAGTTAAATTATTCGACAAAGATAAGACAACGGTGACGGATATAAGGAATTCCGACACAAACGAATAAAGTTTTCTTATTTGTTGAATTTTGAAGATAACGTTCCATTTATTAATGCGAAACGAGTAGAATGGCTGTAGACACGACAACATTTTTCAATTTGTCTCATTACGGCATTCGAGAAACATATCGTGTTGCAGAGGGCCGGCCATGTAATATTAAATTATTTTTCCGTATAACATTTTTGGAGGAAATTTTCTCTTCTGCTTTCTTTTTTCATTAGACTTCTTAGCTCTACTTTTCTCGTAAATTACTAACTAAAAATTAAGGAATGCTTTCGTCTCCGTTAATAATTCCTTTATTTGAAAAGCGATAGAAATTAACCAGAAAATATTTAAAAGCCTATGACTACTATTACTGCTACTAAGTTACTCAAAAGGCATCATCTATCTGGATACATTCAGCTATTCAAAGTTAACTCTTTTAGTCGGTATATCTCTAAAAAAATTGTTTACGTTACGTTAAGTTTTCAACACATTAGACTTCTCTCTGCTGTCGTCTTTATGTAATGAAACATAGTGCTGAACTGAAATATGAAATCAAAACGATATGAACCTCCACACACGATTATCAGTAAGTACTGACAACAGCAAGCAAACAGGAAATGTGGAGTAGTGCAAGCAATCTTGGAGTCAAATGTACAAGATTTTTTAAAACTCGAAAACCCACGCCACCTTTAATTCTGAACATTGTTGTTCATCTTGTTAACGGGTAAATAACAATATTTTTCTCTATCCCAAGAAAATTAAAAAAGAAACACTACCAACTCAAACAAACAAACAAACGAAGAAAAATATGTAAATAAACAAGTAAGAAAACTATTATATAATCGGCTATGCCCGATTTATTTATACCTAACGCCGCATTTATCGCGTCTATTGTACTCTACGAGTAATGTGGAAAAAAGCCAGAAAGCAGATATGCTCTTCTCAGAGTGTCGTGTGACCTGCTCGGCCCACTTCCAATTTCACTCTATGTGCAAGAACTTTGCTTGATTTTGTCAAATTCAGGTCCGATATCTTAAATTAGATTAAGTAAGACTGTGCGAATATTGACTACACATACTATGTGGACTGACACGACGGACAGGTGATGCTCTTGAATCGATTCAGAATTTGATGCTGATCGGATATACATATTCTTTATGACGTGTTTGAACTCCCTTCCGGGTATTGTAAGATTTTGCGATCAAATGAATGTAGCCCCTATATTTCGGTGATAAGTACAACAAAAATATGAAATAGAAAAATTTTTCAAAAATTAACTTTAACAAGACATGCATGCACAACTCAACCACAGAGAATTCTTTATAGCTAATCAACGAAGAAAAAACTTCAAATTTATTTATGGTAATGAGAATTTATATGACATTTATTTGGACGTGGGTGATATAAAGATGCCGTTGTTTGATCTCAAGACTTCCATATTAAAATTGTTTAAAAATAATTGCTTGCGATAATGTGGAAAATGCTTTGCATGTGGGATATCGTTCTGTTGTTTGTGCAACACCGATATTTATTGCGAGATTTGTAATGAAAAGTTTGCTCACTTTTCATGCTAATAATTATGTCTATGAATTCCTTACTACCTATATAATAATTTGAAACTTACCTTGAGCATGTTTCTGGCGTAGCTTGTTTAGTATATTTGTAGCATCAAAACCGGCGTTATCGCACAATTGTCGCGGAATCACTTCCAAAGCTTTAGCAATGGCGGCGATTAGCAACTGCTCCTTTCCAGCAATAGTACGAGAATAGTCGCGCAAAATTTTTGATAGGTGCATTTCGATAGCACCGCCACCTGAAATAAAAGCATAAAAAAATATAGCATTTTTATATTATTTACTACATTACATTCTTCAATTTGCTAATAGAATTAGAAGCTTTTCGAAATAGTTGTCAATTCGTTACAATTGTATACAATTTCGAAACAACGTCCGCGTTTTACTTACGCGAATACATAGCAATTTTTCGTAATTTCAGCAGCACTTTTGCTTACATTAAACGTGCTCTGGGAATTAGTTTTTTGATTACTTTTAAACGACTGCGAATTATGTTTTACATGTCATACCTTCTACAGTAAATGCTTGCAGAAATATATACAGAGTAAGGCATGAGGTTGCAGCCAATTTATGCTCTTACAATTTATATATTTATGTATATATATATATATACATATGAACAATTACAAGGAGGGCTGTTCCCTATTCGTGTAACACGGTGAGTGCCAGAAAGAACAGAGTCCGATCGATACCGACTGACCAGTCTCTATAGTTACGACCCAAGGAAACTCGACCGCCTTCGAAATTTGAACCCGCATACTGTTCGGCTACTCACGCGGAAGTCTTCACATATTTTCACAAGTTGGATTTGAGCCAGTTTACCCGGCCGGAATATTCCCGTGTCACGATCGCTGATCAGTCATAAAAGAGGAAAATATGTATTTTTGTTGTTTTGATATTCCGAACGAATGGTCATAGGAAAACCGTCCGAAACACTTAGATCCCGCAAACCACAGAGGGCAAAATTCCATGTGACTTGTGTAATGTGACCAAGATACTGCAATTAATCTAATTTAGTATGACAGCAAAATTGACACGTATTAAAAAATTATCCAATATCTGCTCAAGTTATTCTGACTGTGGTACGACTGTGGCATATTTAAAATGAACTAAAAGACTTTGAGCCACTTAAAGTGTTTGATTAATGTAAGCACACTATTGTTTATATATATGAAACGATGCAAGCGAAACTCAATGACGATGGAATAATCTTTGTCGCTGGAATAGGGCAAAAACTAGTCGTATATAACTTTTTTTTATTCCTTAGAATTTCCTTTTTCAAATTTTCAAAAGGGGCTAACGGCGTGACCACGTTTATTTATTTATTTTCTTCTTATTTTTTATTTATTTATTTATTTTTTTTTGTTTCTTCTGAGTCATTTACAAGTTGTTGCACTTTTGCAACCATTCAAGCAAGCAATCAAATGCTTTTTTTCGTACATATAAATTTATTTTTGGGTCATCAAGCACTACAACGCATTTTGTGCATGCAAAGGTTTCCTACTATGGTCAATACAAGAAATTTGTAATCAAAATTTTATGGCAAGAGGTGTAATTAAACGGAAAATGTAAAGAGAAAAGAGAAAAAAGATGGTAAGGTAAGTAAATAAAACGTCTACGTGTTAATTGGAGACGTGCATGTAAGTGAATGAAAAAATTCTAAACTTATTGCAAGCGGTAACCCTTATGCGGCGAAAATAGGTATTCCGAAATTTCGTTTGCCTTTTACTTAAAATTATTTCAATCCCTTATCGCTTAAGTAAAATTTACATATTCAAGCCTTAAGAATATATTTATGCGACTTTTCGTCAGATAAACAGGCCGATCGAAATCGACCACATTAATAAATTTCTGTTCTGGTCTTTTAAAAAAAAAAGTTTTTTTTAAAAATAAATTATTTATTTAATTAGTAAAAGGAATACCATAAGAATGCGTTAAAATTTACTTGAAATAACGAAGCATTGTAAACAAGTGCATAAAAATAGATCTTTCTTTCACTCTTGCAAAGTTTCGCGAAAATTATTTCGTAAACTTTAAAAATAAAATTGAAATGAAAGCCAAGTTATGCAAATGAAAAATATTATTATATATAACGAAATCGATCGATTCTATATCCGCGCCTGCGTTCTCGTCATGTCCCGAAACAATGGATTGAAGAAGATAAAGAAGCTAAAGAAAGAAATAATTAAAAACAATTTAATCTGGCAAATATTTGATTCAAGCTTTTTGTGAAATTGTCGAGGTCGCAAAAAATACCATAGCAACTTAAAATCTGACGCATGCCATCCTACATAGGCCAAGCGAACCGGGTAAAAAAAATGAGTGTTGCCTACATGTCGGAAAAGACCTACAAATTTTGTCTTCACTTCGTCAATAACTTACGCTCCCATGAAGATATATCCAAAGAAATGTGACCAAGTCGTCAGAACCATGTACAAGGCCGGCGAAACAAGGTCGGTGTACTAGAACCTTCGCATCGACGATTAAATTCTTTATTCGTTGTATATTTTCAGAGGAAACTTTATAGCGCTTGTTCGTCTCAATTTTACAAACATGTTTTTCTTATATTTAAAAGGAACTTTATTGAATTAAATATGTGCCCTTTGTGGTACAAAAGTCTTTTGCAGATTTATTGATGAAAACATTCCATCACTATAGAAGTTCTGGGATTTCTGGGTGAAAAAGTGAACCAAATAAGTTTGGCAGGCCATCTATGATAGAGAGTGAAATCAATCGTCTGCTTAATTTTTAACAATTCACGTCGTGCGATTATCTTCCATTCCCGTTAACAAAAGAAATCCTGCTTAATTAAGTTTAAACCGGGGTCTCACCATTGTTTGTTCATTACCACCATTTTCGTACTTTATTGTAGTATGCTAGTCGTTATCACGTTCTCCAAACAGTTTCAGAGTTCTTTTCGCTTCTTCACATTTTAAACTGCTTAATATTCCACTAGTTGACTCCAGGTCGGTGTCATACTAATACTTTTACTTCATTGGTCAGTAGTTAGTTTCGTTGGTTAGACGCGGTCTCATAAGACGAATGAAATTTGTCGGTCTTCCCTTACTTCGCCAATGCATGAGACCACAGCGCCATAAGCTATTTGGGCGCTGCAATGGGTGTTGCAATTTATTTCAAAGTGTACTTTGATAGAATTTGTTTCATCACAAAGTTACGAGGCTCTAAGGTCAACTAAATTTACGAAGTTTTTCTGGAACCTATCAATTCCGCAGTCTATTCTTTCAAGTCCGAAAGCAGGTATTGTAAAACGGTTTCTGTTTTAAGGATCTTGTCGATGTTGTGAACGTTCTAAAATTGTTGCTATCTTAAAATTTAGGCACAAAAAGCCCAGGCAATTAAAATGAGATAATAATTTAGGCGAAAGATTACGCTATTCACGTGCATTTAATTGTAAAAGTGTTGTGCATTATTTAATCTAAATTTAAACGAAGGTCTCCCCATAAGGGAACGTTGAACACATTTAAACCGTAAGCTGGCCAAATTTTCATCTTATCAAAATGGCAGATGCCCCCATTTTAAAGAAAGAAGAACTTGAGCTACCACAGCGTTTCTTTAAAATTTTAGAGCGGAGAAGCGTGACTAAGCGTGGCGGCTAAGTAACGCAAAATTCGCAAACCTTTGACCTAAACTTATTTATCTTCTATTAATTCTAGATGAGAAAATTGAAGCTAATTAATTGCACGAAGTGAGAAAACTATGCTGTACTATAATAAGTCTGTGATATGCCTCATCTCACACCAACACATATAAAATGCAATGTGTATGCCTCAAACGTTGCACAGATATCTTCGGTGGATTGGACGGGTTTTTGTGCAACGCGGACATGTGAATAAGTTGGTCATGTCCATTTTTGCTGCCAACATGATGTTGTGTCATGGAGTACTAATTAACGGAGAGCAACTAAGCAAAGATTCCTATCTTAACTTTCCCATCGTATAAATGGTAATCAAGTAAACAGATCAAGATGTATACTTGATATACATTCCCCCATCTTATATCTTAGCATGAACAAAATGGCAAAAATATATCTTTCGTTTTCCAGTTGCGACATAAAAAATATTCAGGAAAGTCTAAAAATTACAAAGTAAATAGTCTTTCAACCGCTAACAAAAAGATTTCCAAATTACTATGCGGAGTTCGCTATGAGATGAACGCTCATCTTAAGGCGGATATCTTCCAGTTAATTCACTATCTCTTTTTCTCAACTTTTTGTTACAAGCGCACTTTGTCAAGGGAATATTATACAAAAAAAAAAAAAACAAAAATTGTTTATAATAAATAGGTTTTGTAATAATTGTTGATTTCTTAGCCAAGTAAATTTATGAACGTTGACGGCTAAAGCGGAAAAATAACAACCTTAATTTTGTGTACCCGCATGTACACACATCGACGCATATGGTTTGAAAATTGTAATATTTCATGACACATTACAATAACAATCAATAAACGAGTGAAAAAGAGAAGCATACAGTCACATAAACAACAAAGCAACAATTGTTGATACTTTTTTGTTAAGTTATTTTGCAAAATAAATTAAAGTAAAAAATGGCAATAGATAAAAAAAAAATAAAAAAAACTATAAAAAGAAATAAATTAAATTTCGAAAAAGAGAAAATAAGAAGAAGACTTTATACTTGTCCTAGATGGCGAATCTTGCACACCCTCCATACATTGTTAAATGAAAGTTTTGCAGTCGTCTTCTTCGCCTAGACTGATTGATACCTCACTTTATTAATTTATTATTCATATAGATATGACAATGATAAAGATATCTCTGCATTTAGGACATATTTATAACAACACATCATGTTTGTATTTAAAGGAAAAAGGCTCATCTTTCATTAAGAGAAAAGAAATTTGTTTATGTTCGTCCAGAATGCGAAAACTGAATGCAGCTCCCGTTTACCTTAACCTGTCCTTGCCTATTCTGCTTATTTCTAAATAATTCTTCTCCTGTATTACTCAAGAATAGGCATAAGAGTATAGCAAGTATAGCAAGAATATATATTAGTTTGGGGAAAAAGAAATCCATTATTTTTTCGGTAGATGGCTACACTGATAGATTTCTCGTAAAGTATCGATCAAACAATTTCATATTTATGCTCGTTGGAAAGGTGACATTTCGCAGTAAAAAAAATTCTTTTGCTGTTTTTTGTTTGGTGCATTCAGTTGTGAGTTACAGCGTGTTAAAAATGGAAGTGAACAAATTCGGTACATT